GGGGGGGGGAGGACCCCGGGCAGGGTCTGGGGAAAAGCTGAGCAAGGGGAAGGGGGGAGAAAAAAAAAGAAAAGAAAAACCCCTGCACTGTACCCACTCACAGCCCACCTGGGGCTGCCTGTGCCTGCTCTGGACAGCCCCACATGGGCTGCTAGTAGCTGCAGCGCAGGGAGCCAGCCACAGGGCAAGCAACAGGCTGCTTTTCCCCACACTCAGCACCACCTTGTAACCCACCCCCACTGCCAGCCTGGGCCCCAAGCTGTCTCCGGCCTCGCCCATCAGGGCTGCACGTGGTGACAGCAGCTGCGGTCCCCCTGCTTGCCGCACTGGGCAGTGTTTGCCATGGCTGCCTGTGGGCTGCCCAGCACGTGAGCTTCAGGTGAGCAGCAGCAGCCAACACTGCCCAGCGCAGCAAGCGGGGGGGCGGGGGGCACAGCTGCTGCCGCTGTGAGCAACCCCAATGGGCGAGCCCAGAGCTGGCAGGGCCCAGGCTGGCAGCAGGGCAGGTTACAAGCTGGTGCTGAGCGTGAGGAGAAGCAGCCCCTCACCCGCCCCGTGGCTAGCGCCCTGCACTGTAGCTGTTTGCAGCCTGCATGGGGCTGCCTGTGCCTGCTCCCCCATGTGGGCTGCAAGCACCTGCAGCAGGGAGCGCTGGCCACAGGGCAAGGGAAGGATGACTTTTCCCCACACTCAGCACCAGCTTCTTAGCTGCTGGCAAGCAGAGGGACGGGGCTGTGCACTGCCTCCCACCTGTACCTCAGGGCTGGGGGGCACTGGGAGTAAATGGGCAAGGAACCAGCAGGAGCACAGGGCCCGCACCAGTGTCCTGGGGCCAGTGCCAGTGGGGCCCAGAGCAGGGCACCAGGAGCGCAGGGTCCCGGCCAGCAGCGGCTCTATGGAGCTGGGCCAGCTCCCCCCTCTCCCTGCTGGTGAAACCCAGCCTGGCTCCACAGACCTTTACCAGCCTGTGTCCCATTTTGGGCCCCACCAGTGCTGGCCCTGAGACATTGGTCCCAAGATGGTGCCCAGGGGGCAGGGCACTTGTCAAAGGGCGGGGCTACCCATGCAGCCCTCAACAACCTGCCAAAACCAGGTAAGCAGCCCTTCACCCGAAATAATTGCCTGCCCCCGATTTGGAGGCATGCCATCTTACTCATTTTTAATGATGCATCCAGGACAACATAGGTATCAGTCACTGGAAGATTCCACTGTAAAGTCACCATTTTGGGAATTTCTAAAAATGTGAGGAAGAATGTTTCAGGTTTTAAATGATGTATGAGCTGTTAGCTAAAAGAAAACTTTTTTTTTTCTTTTTTGAAATCTGAAGGAGGGCACTGGCTACTTTTTTTTTTTTCTTTTTTGGTTGAAGGGGGGCTTTTTGTGATTTCAGGTTTAGGTTGTTTTAAATATGAAATTTATCTTCAACAATTGTGATAGCTCTTTCCCTCATTTTCTCTTTTAAGGGTCCTGTAAAAAAGGTACCTAAAAACTATTAAAGTAATAGAGGCTAGGACTTGAATCCTCTACATAACAGAAAATATCCATTCTCGTTCATTCTCTCTCTTTATATGCCAGCATAACTCGTATTGAAAACTCAGTGGGAATTGTGCAAATTTCTGAAGGCAAAAGTTGGCCTTAATGGTTCTTAATTATTACAATTCACAGGTTTATGGAGTTTCCGTCCCACCTAAGACTGTCTTGTTTGTCAGAATTTATTTTCTTTAAACATCTGAAAAGCATATTTTTGTATTTTGATGTCCAAAAGTTCCTTTCAAAATGTCATATTGTATCATGTTTTCTCACACAGCAAAAATGTTGTTCAACAGTCTGTATTTTGCATCAGGAGAAGCACAACTATGATTTATGTTTGTACACACCGTTGGCCTTTTTGATTTGTATATCTGCAGTAGGCTGAAAGACCATTATGGTCATGAAAATGACCGGCTGCTATAATATTTATTTGGCCACTTAAATATAATAAATTATTTAACCTAATGCTGCAAAATGACATTCAAGGCAAGTACCTACAGAAGTACTGTAGGTACATAAAAGTGACTTTAAACTGATTCAAAACAGAAATCAAAAAGCTCTATTCTAAAAGCACATTTGTAATTCTAGTCACTGTATTTCTGGTATCTTTCAAAGGGACATACATCTAAGTAATGAAAGAGTACCTATTAAGCTTTCAAAGCTACTGAAGATATGAGAACTCAAGTAAAGGTTAATGCTGCAATTATACTGTTTTAGGACTACATAACAGGTCATCATACTAGATGGACTATTTTGATCTGGTGAGGAGAATCCCTTGTTCATATCAAATCAAACAATCATTGCACTGAGGACCCGTTCTCCCATTATACTCAGGTTGTTACAAACTGGTGGGAAATAGATCCTTTTGGCTCAAAAGTCCTGTTCTCTACTTGAATTAGGGCAAAAATAAAGTCAGAATAACCAGACATATGCACCTAATGTTAGGTAACTAAATGTGTACCCTGATTTTAAGGAGGTGGGAAAAGTTTCCCAAAATATGTAAAAAAAAAAAAAAAAAAAAAAAAGTCATATGGGAATGTCCATTCTATGCAGTTTTAGTTACTCCTTTGCTGAAAGGTTTAATCTTGTTTCCCTTAAGATGGTGGGGGGAAGTTGTATAAGCCTCCACTATCAGTTCAAGAATTCCCCAGCAACAATGATGATGGCTCTACCAAAATTATGTTTATGAAAGCATTACTGCTAGGGGATTTGGCTTCTGTATGACTCCGTATTTCGTAACTTAATTGTATCTTATACACTGTTGATTCAGTCTCTTTTTCCAGATTCACAGAAGTTGCAATAATATCTGTAATAATACATTCCATTTTGTGCATACAACATCAATAAAATGTATCAAATTTAGCCATGTTGGAGGGAAATTTTTCAGGTATTTTATCCTGATATTTAGAAAAGAATCATAGAATCAATGAGTCGGAAGGGACCTAGACAGATCATCTAGTCTGACCCCCTGCCATGGGCAGGAAGGAGCACTGGGGGTGGCAGGGGTCATAAGACCCCAGCCAGGTGCCTATCCAGTCTCCTCTTGAAGATCTCCAGGGAAGGTGAGAGCACCACCTCTCTGGGGAGCCTATTCCAGGCTCTGGCCACCCTTACCATGCAGTAGTTCTTCCTAATATCCAACCTAAACCTATCCTCCCTCAGCTTGTGGCCATTGTTTCTGGCGACCCCAAGGGGGGCCCTGGTGAACAGACTTTCCCCGAGTCCCTGCTGGTGGCCCCTGATAAGGTTGTAGGCAGCCACAAGATCCCCCTCAGTCTCCTCTTGCGGAGACTGAAGAGATTCAGGCCCCTCAGCCTCTCCTCATAGGGCTGGCCACGGAGACCCTCAACTATATGAGTGGCCCCCCTCTGGACCCTCTCCAGGTTCTCCACGTCCCTCTTGAAGTGCGGCGCCCAGAACTGGACACAGTAGTCCAGCTGCGGCCTGACCAGTGCCGCATAGAGGGGGAGCAAAACCTCTCTGGACCTGTTACTGATGTGTGACAGGGTGCAGGTGGCTCTGCCTATTGCTTTGTCGCATTGGCAACTCATATTCATCCTGGAGTCAATCATGACTCCAAGATCCCTCTCTGCCAATCCAAGATCACAACATTTTCAATTACCTGAACTTTAGGACAATAAATCCTTTGCTATAATATCAACACCCCTTTGGGATTTACTAGTGAAAAATAGCATACAACAGCTATGTGTATTAATGACGATAATCACATACCTCCTCAGAGTAAACCGTCAGATAAATATAACGTACAGGTGAAGCACTGGAATTACGGCTCTGTTTCCCTTTGCTGCACAGAAGTTAAAAACCATTAATTTAGAAAATACTGATGTCAAACGTTATGAAAGACATCAGTGAAAGTCTATTAAATAGATCTGAATAGTCCTCCAGATCAGTTCCACAGAAATAACTAATTGAAGTATGCCTACTCCACATTTTTTGCTTAGTATTTTCCCCCTTGTCGTTAGCACTGTACCTAATCTTAGTGGAAAAATTAGAGGGTTTCTAGTCCCATCTAATCATATCTAAATATGCTTGCATGAAAGAAATGGAAAGTAAACTACCTCCAAACTTGTTTCCTCAGACAGTATTTGGAAACAAAACAGCCATTTAAATAAATATCAATTTTCTCACTTTTATCCCAGAAAAAAGAAGAAATGCTTGTCTAATGCGATTAAAAATTACACATTAAAAATCCAAGATGTGTTTCCAGAAGGAACTTTCTCTGCTGTTGGTAAAGATGTAACCACCGTACGATGCTGTGAGCTAGCTGTTTGTAGCTGCCTGCCCTCAGAGGAGCTATTTTCCAGCAATATGTAGCCACATGCATAGTTTGTAAACCCATCTGGGATCCTAAAGTGAAGGGTGCTTTATCAAACTAAATTATTCCATAAAACTTCAAATTACCACACGGACTACATTGCCAGCAGAATTTGCCTTTATTTGTCCTGCAAAGTAAATTTAAGTTATGCATTATGCATTAT